CGGATTTCTCAAATGATTTGTATGCACAGAGAGAAAAATGCCTACGTAATCGATAGAATCTTTAAGATTTTACATATGTAAGATAGGAAAATTGAAAACTGTAGGCTTCTAATTTTTCTCTGTGCACAACGTGCCACAAAAATATCTCACAGTTTGCTATTTAGCACTTAATATACTTTAGGTTTACTTGCAAACGCAAGTATTGATGATAACAAAGTGTTTAGTTTGAGATTTGCTTGTTAATTGGCTATGAAAGAGTCTAGAAAATGTACCTAATAAAATGTATTTAGAAAAAGGGATTTCAAGATAACAGACTTTGAAATATATATTTCTTAGAGATTTATAGATTCTAAAGAAGTTTCCGTATTACGTTACACCCTTTATACTGTATCATAACAGTATTTATGACTAACATTTAATCAAAATACATTTTTGGTAAGATATTTTCTACCTCCATCATTGCGGGCAACACGTAAATAGGTAATAGGGCTAATGTACAGTGGGAAATACTAAAGGCGATCCAATTTGAATATGACAGCATTTACCGGTTCTAAATATAGACTTTACTACTCCCGATTAATTCGCGCCTCTTGATTTACGCTCCTCAATTGTTTTTCTTTTATTTATTTTCGGGCATTAAGTGATTTGAAATCATTTGGTATTGCCGGGCAGTGATAGCGTCCACCAACAATTGATAACGATTCGAATCGAAGATGGATGAATGACGTTGGCAGCCAAAATAAAGAAATTGCGGCGATTTCATGACCATTTGCCAATGGGAATTTTCATCGAGAGTATTATTATAGTATTTACGAGTTATTATAAATCTATTATAGTATATATACCCTCTGTATATAGACATATTTCAAGATCTCTCGGAATTTGAGGTTTTCGGAACATGCAAACATTTTTCCCCCATTTCCGCAACAATTTTAAAACAACTAAATACACAATTGGCATGGTTCCCAATGAAATTGAAGGTACCTCAGATTGACATACTGAAATATATAGACATTATTTCTGTACTTTCTGTTTCTTTTTGCAAAGAAATTAAAAGTAAGTCAACTTTAGGATTGTTTAAAAATATATAATCCCTTGATGTTATTCAAAATCGAAGAAATAATAAGACTTTCTTTTTACAAACATCTATAAAGGACAACTGGCTGACAGTCTTTTCTTCCAACAAGTCAAACAAAATGAAATCACATGCATTTTTTACACATTATCCATTGTCTGGGAAAGAATTGTATATACACTGCCTGCATACCTTGTGGCCTCATAATCGAATCGCTTTTGTTCTTGCTCGTCTTTTTTGTTTAGCCTAAAAGTTAATAATAATTTCCACTGTGTTCCGCTGCACAGAAGCGGTAACAATAATTACATACGCACTGGTGGCCAGCGGCACAATTACCGTTGCCGCTGACTGACTGACTGGCTGGCTGGCTGGCTGACATTACAACAAATGTGACAATGGGCCTGGCCTGTCCCATAGCACCCGTCTGTGTGTCTATGGTAATAATTATGACTACGATTATGATTATGACTATGCGATGATGATAATGATGATGATGAGCACGCTGTATGCATGTCAAGTGTGCCGTGGGTACCGGAAAATCAATTGACTGAGTGACAGGCGGACAGTTCGAGATGTGCTTTCACAATAGCTATAGATATAAGCAAGGCCCACTGGCCGATCGAATTTCTAGAGTCCAAAAAGAAAACAGTAGATGAAAAAAAAAATATAATAAAACGGAATCATGTCGAGGTCAGCTGTTCAATCAGCCTCCTTTCGTTTGCTCTACAGAGAGCAAAAAGGTAAGCCGAATTGAGTTTGACAATCGATTTGAGCTAAAGTAATTGCTTTTTGCATCTTAAATGATTATGCAAGTTTTCACTATAGAATCTTTACAAATATATATCTCTTCTTTAATAAGTTGAGTTTACAAAACTGTTTCATTTCATTCACAAATGATGCCCTTTATAAAGACTAACTTAATAGTGTAGTTAAACCGATCGATCAGTCTAGAAACGAAACTCTACCAAATAGCTAACCACATTTTTAAGATATTTTCCCCTTGAATCTGGTTAATCGATTAGAAGAATCAACCGACACAAGATTGCCGGTTTTTCTTTTCTTTTCTCTTGCGTTCTTTTCCCTTATTCTTTCATTTCTTTGTGACTCTGACTAACAGTAAAGAAAGAAAGTTCTATAGCAAGTGGCGAGCTCAAAGCTGATGACATCACGCTCCACCGGCAAATTAATGCTCTCCACATACAAAAACAACTACAAAAAAAAAAAAAAAAAAAAGACAGAAGAAAGAAACACGCATGTGGAGAGACTGGCAAACTGAACAAAAAGGTCACAACATGTGTTAAGTCTAATCTTTCCGAAAATGGAATATGCCACCTAGACGAAAAGCTAAAAAGAGACAAAGTAAAACAAATTGTCAGCAAATTTGATTTGATGCCCGTTTGACAGCCATCATGAAATTAAAAACAACACCTTTCATGCATGGCTTGTCACCTGTTTTAATCTAATGCTATTATTCAAATGCTGAGAGATAATGATACACAGATTAAAGACTAGCTAATAACAAGAAAAACACAAATTAAAATCTCAAATAGCATTAATTTTAATCCCAATTCCATTAAAAACCGATCGAAAAGCTTTCAAGAACACCCATTATCCAGTGAATCGATTGATTTGGGCGTAGTTAATCGCATTAGTTACATCTCTAACATTAATCGATTGTCAAGCTTTGCGCTATCGGTGAGATTTCAACTAGAACTTAGTTAAAGCGCTCGTTTCAAATGTTTGTGGGTGCGGCACAGGCATTAGATACGTGTTCAGATACAGATACAGATACAGATACACAAAATGCAGCCCAAAAAAAGATGTGGGTCAACAACCACCGAATGAAGTTGACCCACTTATATATATATATCTGTATATATTGCTTTAAAATGCACACACACACACACACATATAGGTGACACACGCACATGGTCATTATGTAATAAAAACGATGACGATGTTTAACGGTATTCCAGTTAGAATGACTGCAGCGCCGGCGCATTATAAACTCCAATTGGAGTTCCCCTTTTTGGTGGTGGAAAATGCGAAAAAGCAGACGGAGAAAAACCCAAACAAACAAACCCATCTTCCAATTGGACTGATAACACGAAAGAGAGAGCGAGGGGTTGGGCGATTAAAAAGAAGAGAAAGGGCCAGAAAGAGGGTAAACAAAAATACAGTGGCAGCTGTCCAGTTTGAATCCTTTTTGGCGGTTTTTTAATTAGCCAAGGATTGTTTTCTTTTTTCTAGGAGATTGCTAATATTTAACATATTAATAAATTGAACTTTAAAAATTTCAATTTTGAAATCATTTCCTATAGGAAACTGCAGAAAGTAGGAGATATTTTAAGATCAGTTTTAATATCTTCATGACTAACAAAGCGATATATATCTCAACTAAGATTACAAAACAGAGTTCAAATCTTCATCTTGTTAGAAGAACAGAACCTCTCACAACACCCTTAATGGTTTTTAATTATTTCCAACGAAGATATCATCAAACTAGAACGAAGAACGAAGATAAATTTAATGAGCCTCTCAGCGCCATCAAAAAACAAAGTTTCAATGTCTTTTTAATTGTTTCCGCTATTATTTGGCATTAGACAAGCACATACTACTTTACGATTTAATCCAAGGCTTCGGGTATCTCCGTCCCTTGATTTGTAATAAAAAATTCATGTACATCAAGCGAATAACCACTGTACGTGGGCTTAAAGCTAACAAAGTTTTAAAACCAAACTGCTGACGGGTGAGCGGTAATTATCGATTCAAAAATTTGTGTGTCTCAAGCTTCCTGTCTTTGGGGGAGGTTGTGGGTGGTTTTTTTTTGGTTGGATAGAATAGGAAAAGAAAATGCGGGGATTTACGTGGCTTTAGTTTTAGGGTTGGGTGATGGGCACAAAGTTCATCGCTTGCTATTTGGGTTGATGGAAAAATGAATGTGGCATAAACACAGCTGCATCTTTTGTTTTTTTTTTGTTAATTTTTTTGCTCAAAGGCTTAGAAAAAGAGATCACTAGTTATGGATTGGCTTACAAAAAGCAAACTAGACAAAAAACAAAATATAAAACCAGGCTAACTACGAAGCGAAACAAAAGTGAAAGCGGCCAAAAAGTCATTAGACGGATATTTTAATGAGGTAAAAGTAGGCCCGATTCGGGCCACACACAATCGCACAATCATAAAGCCCTGCACTGACTACCGAACTCTAGCCCTGCACATTGTTACACTGATCGAAAAAATAGATAAATATGATTGTAAAATGTAAATAGGAAACAGAAAATTCGAATATCATGGAGTTTGTATTATTCGTAATCTTCATGACTCAAAACTGCAGATTGCAAAATAAACGCCACGAACTCTTGGCTATATCTTCATCTGTTTGCAGAACAGAGTTTGACATTATCTTATTGTGTCAGTGTAAATCAGAGATAACTTCCAGTTAAGAGTGAATCATATGAGCGTTGTTTCTATATTTGTATGGACTTAATTTTTATAATGCACGATTAGCTGTCTACTCTTTGTTAAGCTTTCCAAGAATTTCTCTTCACTCTAGCGAAAAAAGAAGCTTATAAATATGATGCCTAATGTTTTCCAATAATATCTTCATTTTATTACTGCTTCTAACATGGCTATCACTTCTTTTCTATATTTGATTGCTTGAAAACCTTTTAGGGAACCACTTCCTTATAAGCCTCTAACTATTATTTATCTATTTTTGGTTAGTGTAAATTATATGCCGCTTTTATACGTAGGAGAAGTTGTAGGCTTAAATGGGAAGCGCCTACTCTATAAAATAACCTTCTAGCTATCATCTAACACTCACAAGCGTTCATTTTTCACCTTCCCAAATGCCTATTTTATATAAACTTCCCTTAAGACCCACCTACTTACTAATCCTTCGCATATAAAGTTATAAACTTACTCTTCCTGCACCTCGATGCCGCTATCATCCATATTCCCCTTCGTATAGTCTCCACTGTAGCCACCGGCTAGCGGCAGATGCGACGGTAGCGTCGACGCCAGCTGCGGCTGACCAGCGGCAGCAGCGGCGGTATCGGCAGCAGATTCAGCTGCCGCATCGAATCCAAACGTGGACTCCATGTGCTCCGACAACGGCGTCGGCGTCTCAAAAACGAGTGTCTCCACCATGGAACCCTTCGAGGATCCAAAAGACACGCTACGGAAAATGATAAAGGTAGAAGGTCAAATAGGGTTCACATACATGTTTATAAAGCTAACTAAAAGAAACTTAAAAGAATGTTTATAAGGCTTATAAAACTAGCATTTTAAAGGTGTGTAATCGTTAGTAAACCAAAATTTGTAAACTAGTGTTATGCTTATAAGTGTTCTCGCTAAACTAAATCAATTTTGCTTGGATAAATAATCGAAAAGTAATACTTTTAATACCCTTCAAGATATTTAGTACTGCTGCGAGGGTGAGCGATCTCAAGCTCAAAGTATAATCGATCGATCAACTTGTCTTAAATTGATAATTAAAAAATGCAAGACTTTTTCTAATCTTTTGTATACCGCTGTGAAAGGTGTTACGAGCTAAGACTGAAATCTATTATTAGGGAATGTTTTTTTATGGATCTTTAAAAAGGACTCTAATCTTTTCTGACTTTCCAAACTGCTAATTAGTCAATAATATTGTATAAAAATTATATTTTACAAGAAATATAAAGAAAAATTCGCACCGTTTGAGACCGACGCTTTTGGTGCCCAGTTTGCTTAGTTTGCCGGGTTTCTTTTGGGGGCGTGGGAACTTATCGCTCAGATCGCTGGACATATCCTCCTCATCAGCTGTTGTTGTTGTTGCTGTTGTTATTATTGTTACCGGTTCTATATCCCCAGTTGTTGTTGCTGCCGCAGCTGCATTGTTGTTGTTGCTACTGCTGCTGCTGGCCTCGTTGTTTTTGCATTTGCTGTTATTTGTATTATTTTTATTATTAGCCATGTTTTTAGCACTGACCACAAGCAAGGCATTGTTGTTGTTGTTAACATTGTTGTTGTTTTGTTGCGTTGTTGCTGTTGTGTGCACCAAAGGCAGCGACGTCGGCGGCGCAGTTGCAGCGCCACCGGCTGAGGACGATGCTGGCAGCGGGGGCGACGGTGCAACAACAACCAATTCTTCGCTTAGCAGAAGCGTTCGCTCATCGCAGTCGCCAGCGACGGCGGTAGCGACGTCAACGTCGGCAGCGACGCCAGCAGAGCCATTTGACAGCATTGCGGTTGCAGAAAAACGATTCGATTTCGCGGCTAACGGGGCATTTCGAGGGGGCGGCGTGGTGGGCGGGGCCAGGGCCAGCATAGGTATAAAGGTGCACCCACACAAACACTCTTAATTAAATCGGAATTTGTGTGTGCAAAAAAATAAAAAAACAAAACAAAAAAAAAACAGCACACACACACACACACAAATATATATTTATCTATTTCTTTTAGCACATTAACGGAGCACCACAAACAGCAACAGCGGCAGCGAAGTCAACTACGGCAGCGTCAGCGGCGTCGGTGACCTGCACTTTATTTGCCGACCAAAAAAAAAACACAACTCGCGTTTATAAATAAATATGCATCTGCATTTAATAAATCCGATGGCGCGCGCTCTGTTGCTCTTGTCGTACGATTCGGATCGGGATCGGATAGCGATATAATCGGAACAATCGCGTCTGTATATTTGGCAGCGCTTCGAATTTGTGTTCTGTTCTGTTTCCTTTGGTATGAGCGCACTGGCGATGACAACCGGCCGATAGATCACCTGGCCGATAGCACAACTGACCGATAAGCCTAATGAATATAATCGAATGTGGCGCGAGACAATATTTTTCTTTTTTAAATGTAAGCTATTAAATGTTACAATTAATCAACTGTCCTAAATATAAAAAAAATATATAATTTTGACTTACTTAAATCTATGTCAAAGACTATTAATTTTTAAAGACGTAGCGCGAGACAATAATTTATGTTTTAAACGTAAGCTTTTAAATGATTCAATTTTTCAATTGTCCTAAAAAATAAATACAATTTTGACATACCTAAATCTATGGCAAAGACTATAATTTTTATAGATGTGGCGCGAGAAAATAATTAATGTTTTAAATATAAACTAATAAATGTTTCAATTTTTCAATTGTCCTAGATATAAAAAAAATATATAATTTTGACCTACTTAAATCTATGGCAAAGACTATCATTTTTTAAAGTTAAAATTGCCTATAGATATAAAATATTTTTAATTATATTTAGGCTAGCTAAAAATACAAAACAAGTTAGAAATAATTTGTATGCTGTTGACTTAATTTACATGATTGCATTAATTAATATATAATATATATTAATATATAATATAATACAATTTTCTTTAACAACACTGTTTGGTTGAGCTGCCATATCGATAACTAATCGATATAGGCCACTCACCAGTTTGTCCATCCCTATAGAGATGAGCAAAATTGCAATTTTCCGTGTTAAAATTCGCAGCAGAAAAGCCACAAATAATCAGCAACAAAGCGATATAAATGGAAGATATAACCACGATTTGATTTAAATAAAACGCGGGGATCGGAAAACATTATAAACCCGCCGAGGAAAGGGTCGCCAGGGCGAGGAAAATCGCTCATCTCTATTACAAATACGAAAATGAAATTGCGTGCATTCTAAATGGTAAGTTAAACGCCCAGAAAACGTTTAGAAATATTCATTAATCACTATTAACAAATTAGTGAATATAGCTAAATGGTTTTCCCAATGCGGCTAATGACAATAACAAACATTCCACAACATTTGCAGCAGCAACAACAATCAAAATAAGACAGCACTCACACACACAAAACGCAACCACACAAATGCGCAAATGTTTTTCTCTATTTTAGGTTTGTCTTGTTGTTGTTGTACAAATAAAGTGCATAAAATGCAACAATTACTTGCTTTAATGGTTTTATAAACATCCGTAAATTTCAAAATTCAATTTCATGCAAAAAACAAAACACACCCAAATTTTTGTGGGTGCGTGTGAGTGTGTAAAAATCCTTTTACAGTGCGCGACATAAAAACAAGTGCAGAAATCTATAAATAAATGGAATGCATTTGTTTATAGTTTCTGTTTGCATGACTCACATTATAAATAATCGGGCCTACAGAAATAGAACGGAAAAATATTTGCCGGTTCCGAAATACCGGTTAGCCCGGTTAAGATAATGCAAAAAAAAAAAAAAAAGAACAAAAATCTTAAGAACCACAACCACTTTGGCCACAGAACCCTAGCCCACAATTAATTGCAGTTGAAGTTATGTAAGAAAAATAAAAATAAAGGTATTAAATGAATACACTTCTTGCGGTTTCCAGTTTTTAACTGGGGTAGTAGAAAAAGAAAAACCTTTAAAAGTAGGTTTTTCAAAGTGAATAAAAGAACAATAGGATTCTTTATCAATTCGTTCTAGTTTCCATTGCAATTTGAACTAAAATATAACTGAAAGTTAAGACTGTCATTAATACAATTCCTCACCATCTTTGCAGCCACATGGGAACCATGACCAAGGACTACGACTATCTGCTGAAAGTTCTGTTGGTGGGCGACAGCGATGTGGGAAAGCACGAGATCCTCTCAAACCTGGAGGATCCATCCACGGAAAGTCCCTTCTGCAGCGTGAACGGTGAGTGCTGGCTATATCCAACGATTGGTAATCAATCTGAAATTTAATCTAATAGACTGCACATCTCATATCCTTCAAACGGTAGCCTACAAGACAACCACAATCCTACTGGAAGGCAAGCGGGTGAAGCTGCAGTTGTGGGACACCTCCGGCCAGGGACGCTTTTGCACGATCATCCGTTCCTATTCGCGAGGCGCCCAGGGCATCATACTTGTCTACGACATCACCAACAAGTGGAGCTTCGATGGCATCGATCGTTGGCTCAAAGAGGTCGACGAGGTTAGTTTTGATTTGATAGATATGTATGGCCAAATCTGTTTAAAATAGACAAAATAGATTACGTTAGCCTAAAAAAAAACTGTGAATATAAGAAATAATAATACGTATTAATTGTACACTTTTAGCACGCTCCTGGCATCCCAAAAGTGCTTGTGGGAAATCGCCTGCATTTGGCCTTCAAGCGACAGGTGGCGGCCAAACAGGCCGAGACCTACGCGAGCCGCAACAATATGTCCTGCTTCGAGATATCGCCTCTCTGCGACTTCAACATCCGCGAGTCCTTTTGTGAATTGGCACGGATGGCGTTGCACCGCAACGGCATGGAGCACATTTGGCGCAGCAATAAAGGTAACTATAAAAGATTTATTTGATTGGAGAATTAATTGCATTATTTATTGCCTGATTAACCTGACTTTAAATGCCCATTGCAGTGCTGTCGCTTCAGGAGCTGTGCTGCAGGACGATTGTGCGAAGGACGAGCGTGTATGCGATCGATTCGCTGCCGCTGCCGCCGTCGGTGAAGTCGACGCTCAAGTCATACGCGCTGACCACCTCGCAGTGCTTTAATTCGCTGACCCAGAGCTCCAAGAGCAAGAACCGCTGCAAGACACCGACGAGCGGCAGCCGGAATAGCTGTGCGATCGCGTGATCGTTGCCTTGTAGGCCGCCGACCAACGGCCTACGCCGCCGCCGCCACGCCCCCCAACCGACATTAACTATAATTGAGCTCTACTTATGTACGCTAGGCTAACACACACACACACACACCCCAACACACACACACACAGACTCACCCAATCATTCACGCATTGAGAACATCCCCCTTCTTCTTTGGTTATTTTTTTATCCTTATCTTATTTTTGTTTGATCGACATTGATAGTTTGTGGCCAACAATGTTTACTTTTTACACAGTAAATCTTACATTTATTTAATTATTAATCCATCCCCCCCCAGACATCCTTGACCCATTTTCCCTCCTCCTTCTACTTTCTTTTTGCATTACTCTAATGTTGTTAATATTATTATGTTTGTATAATTCTAATATTTAAAGCATCAAACACACATCATCAAAACGTAAAATAACAAAACGACAAAAAAACAAAAGGAAAAAAATCAACAGCAAGTGAAAAAAATCAATTTTTATATGGATAAAAATAATAATTTTTTTTGTTTGTTTACCATCGGATTAAAAATATTCTTAGAGATGTATTGTAATTGAAGCGAATTCCGCAAGAGAAGCACACACAAAGGCGAATTGATAAAGATAATTCATAATGAAACTGCTAAACTGTGTTTTCTTACATTCTGCATCCCTTTCTGTTTCCCGGCTAGCTGACTCTTTCTCTTTCCAAATGGGGTTTACTTTACTTTTTTTATTTTGTTTTTAATTTGTGCTAATTTAAAGTGAAAGTTTGTGGCTTAAGTTGTTATACAATTATTGTATTAAGCTAATTTCTATTCAAAAATAGTTTAGTTTTATTTTTAATGGCAATTTTCTTATTTTTTTTTGTTTAATTTTAGTGTTAAGAACAGCGTTTTAGCCAGAATAATGCAAAAATGGTCCCAATATGGAATTAGAAATTTGTACTTTGTCCAGAACACAGCCATGAGTAGTTCAAATATGGAGTGGATATGGATACTTTGTTCAGCTTTTATTAATTAAATGAGAAACTTGCGAAAAATGATTTCTAACACAAACAAGGCGCTGGGAGTCGCGGCCAACATCTCAACCAGCACCTTGTTAATCTTAATGTAATCTTAGAATCTTCTGCACGGACGGAATGCTATCAGGAACAGGAACAGGAACAGGACACAGACTCGGACTTCTTTTAATATAATCGTGTTTCATTCAAAAATTGTGGGCTTTTTCGGGAATCACACATGCATCGCACGCCGCAGTGAGGGCACCTTTTAGGCGAAAAAAGCGGGTTGAAAAAGTATTTTTGTCGCGTCTTGAAAATTTTAATGATGTTACCCTTACTGAAAATGTAAATTTTGGGTTCCCCCGATTTTCCCGTCAAAGTTACAGTATTCTTCTCACAACCAAGTCAAAAATGGTCCAAATTTGGAATAGAATACCTCGTTGAGCTTGTTTTCTAATTCCTAACAAAACTGCATTCACAGTTTAAAATGCCAATTTTTTAAAAAAATAAATAAAATTAAATTATTATCAAAAAAAAAAAATTTATGAAATTAAATTATTATCAAAAATGCGATTTTTGGCTTCCCTAAACTTTACAGGGTTTTGCTCATAACTTGTCCAATAATGGCCCACAACAAAGTCAAAAATAGTCAGAGTATACAATGTCATATATCGATAAACTCGTAATTAAAATTCCAAAAAAACTGCATTCACAGTTTAAAATGTGAAATTTTAACCATTTTTCAAAAAAATGATGATGTTACCCCTTATCAAAAATGCTAATTTTTGCTTCCCCAATCTCGACAGTATTTTGCTCATAACTTGGCCAATAATGGTCCAAATATGGAAAGAAATACCTCATTGGGCTTGTTTTCTTATTCTTATCAAAACTGCATTCAAAGATGAAAATGTCAAACTTTTGCATATTTTTCGGAAAATGATCGAAAATGCAAAACCTGGATTCTTCTTATTACCCCTCTTAAAATGACACTATTTTGTCCATAACAAGGCCAATAAGGATCCAAATCTAGAATGGTATGCCTTGTTGAGCTTGTTTTCTAATTTCTAGTCGATCCTCCTTCAAATCTAGAAAAGAAAAGAGGGGAAGCATAAACCCCTTGCCAAAAATGTGAAAATTGGTGATAAATTAATTTCCGAAAATCATCCGGAAAATAATAGGGATCTCATCGTTAGCTGCTTAAATTCCTTATTTTTTCGGTTCTAGGTTTCCTTTTGAAAAAATGTTAACTAAAAAATTATTAAAAAATATATTTTTGTTAACAAAAATCATGATTTTCGCCTTTAAGCTAGGTTAATCTGTCTTATCGTAGTCGTTATAAAAAGACGAATCGAATTTCAACAGTGGATTCTCCAATCAATTTGTTTCGTTTTCAACATCTGCTTTGGGGTTGTCCCTTGTCGGATGTGATTAATCGGTCCGCTGCAAACCCAATTTGATATTGTAATATTATTTAAATGATTCAAATTGCCTTTCCTTTGCGTTTGGCTTTGGCTTTGGCTGTGCCCCTGCCTTTGCCTTTGGTTTGCCCTTTTAAGCCAAACAAAAAATTTTGCGGCTTCATTTTCAACATCAATTTCTTCCCCAAAATGTTAGGTTTTGTTTTTGTTTTTCTTGTTTTGGCTTTTTGACTTTTTCTGACTTTTACACAATTCCCTAATGTTGGCCAACAGCCGAAAAGGGAGGGGGCGGGTCTCCCGGGGGCAGTGGACTCGTTATACTTTAAACTTATTTTCAAATTTCGAATGGAACAGCTGCTGAGGGGAATTGAATGCGAAATCAAAGCGATATATATATTGGCAATATATTTGCATATGCTTTGATTGGGGTCTTTCTTTTTAAGCGTTTATGTGTGGAAGTTAATAAGTTAATAATATTAACTCAGGCAAGGCAAAAGAGTTGAGGAATGGTATGTAAATATTCCATAATTGTTGGTAAAGAAGTCCCAAGAAATCTGCAATAAATCTTAAAAAACTTCTGCTTTTCAACAGAGCTTTAGTAAAATCTTATAAAATATTTACTAAAGTAAGAAATATTATAATTAATGTGTATTATAGGTATAATTATACACCATCACCATATATCTTTTATTATCTAATTTAAATATTAAAATAAATCTAATAAAAATACAAACTGACAGCCTTAAGTAAGCTCTGGAAAGTCTAACTCATAACTGCATAAACTTAGTAACTTTTTTATTAAAACCAAAATAAAATTTACTTAAAAACTATCTATAGTCTGTCTCTTCAATCTAATATTATATATATACCATTAAAAATCGGATATATATATAGATATTTTGAAGATTTTACTGTGGGAAGAGCAAAAGATACTTTCCCTATTTAAAAGCTTATAATTTGTAGATTTTCTGGAAATGCATTTCCCACTTAAGCCTGCCATTGGGAAAGTAGTAGGTATTAATCTTAACCGAACCAAATCGACCTGAACTGAACTTCACCGAACTGACCTAACCCATCGGGAGGCGGGGTCACCATCATTAAGCGGTTCGTTCATGCCCGGCGGATTAATTTCGGCGGCTGGTCCAATTATGGAACTGCTATATATATATATATATATGATTTTTTTTCCACTGGTCTCATTTGCATTTACCAGATGCGTTTTGTTGTTGGAACAACTTGGTTTCCAGATGGACAGAGCTTGGCTGTTGGATATTTGACCACCGAATGAGTGGTGGGCATGGGCGATGACGAAAGCAAGTTCAGAGATACAAAGATAGACGGAGGGGAGCATCGCGCAATCCGGCTGCTATATAAACTGTGGACCGCTTGGAGTGGATCATCAGTTGGCTTCCAGCTTCCTCTTCTGCTACGTGAAGTTCCACAGTTTTCAAACCCCAAGCAAGAAACTTCCAGCAATGAAGGTGAGTCCCCGCTGCACAGTAAACAAATATTAAGAAGTTTTTAAATACAAAAAGTCAAACAATTAAAATATTCAATTATTTAAATCGTTTTCATTAATTTCTTTCTTCTTTTACTCACAGATCTTCGTGTGTCTCCTGGCTACTTTGGTTGCCACCTCATCGGCTGGCTTCATTGGAGGATCCGGCGGCGGCGGCGGCGGCGGCGGCGGTGGCTACAGCTATGGAATCGGTTCTGGAGGAGGCGGCGGCGGCGGCCACCAGGAAGTGAAAACCATCCAGGTCATTCACCAGGAAGGTGGCGGCTACTCTGGCGGCGGTCATGGAGGATACTCCGGCGGTGGCCACCAGGAAGTTAAGACCGTTAAGGTTATCCATCAGGAAGGTGGCGGTCATGGCGGTGGCTATTCCGGCGGTTACTCTGGCGGTCACGGAGGCTACTCTGGCGGCGGCCATCAGGAGGTTAAGACCGTTAAGGTCATCCATGAGGAAGGACATGCTTTGGGCGGCGGCGGCGGTTATGCTGGTGGCTTCTCTGGCCACGGACACGGACATGGTGGTGGCCATCAGGAAGTGAAACTCGTCAAGGTTATCCATGAGGAGGGCGGTCATGGTCATGGACATAGCGGTGGCTACTCCCACGGCGGATTCTCTGGCGGTCACCAGGAGGTTAAGACTGTGAAGGTGATTCACCAGGAGTCTGGCGGTCATGGCGGTTACTCTGGCGGTGGTCATGGAGGCTATTCCGGCGGTGGTCATGGAGGATACTCCGGCGGTGGTCACCAGGAGGTGAAGACCGTCAAGGTTATCCATGAAGAAGGACATGCTCTGGGCGGCGGTGGCGGTTATGCCGGTGGCTTCTCTGGCCATGGACACGGACACGGTGGTCATGAGGAGGTTAAGGTCGTGAAGGTCATCCACGAGGAGGGCGGTCACAGCCACGGCGGTCACGATCATGGCCATGGTGGTCATTCGCACGGTGGATTCGAGGAGGTCAAGACCATTAAGGTCATTCACGAGGAGGGTGGCCATGCCCATGGCGGCCATGGACCTGCCCCCATCATTAGCAACGAATACCTGCCACCCAGCAATGAGTACCTGCCTCCAGTATCTGCCCCTCAGCCTGGCTACCTGCCACCCTCTTCCAGCTGGAAGTAAAGTCTCATTCCATTCCATTTGAGCCATACTGATCCTTGAGAGCTTTTTGTTAAGTAGTTTTAAGCCTTCTTTTTTTTCCTACCCATATTTTTTTTTACTGTTATACCCATCTAAACTCACTTGTTAGAAAAAATATAGAAACCATTTTGTAAATTATAAATATTTTGAATTTTTTATTTAAGAATTTAAGATTCTTGGGGATAGAATGATGAGGAAAGGTAAGAAGTTAGCTGTTAGAAAAACCTCATGGAAAGTTCTAACTAGAAAGTTGGCCAGACTTTACCTATTATCCAATCTAAAGCTCTCGCCTCTTTCCCAAACTTAATTTAAAAACAAAATTTACCTGCTATTGCTATTCTAATGCCATCTCTATTTACGGTTCGTTAAGCTTTTAAATTAGCATTTTATTGATTTGATTTTGATTTAACTTAAACTTCCATTCAGTTCCATTCAATGGGCTGGCTGGCTGCCTGTCCACTTTCGATTCGCGTTTCAATTTCACTTTCAACCCAATCGATCCAACGATATTACCATATTACCATCTACCAGCATATAGTCATCCAATTTAGCGGTAGCTCAACGACCTGTTCATCGCCGGTTTTATGTTGGTTTTTTCATGGATCTAACTTCCAAAATCTAAAGCATTTATTTCGTATATCTTAACGTTTTTATTTTTAAGTTTAGACATGGATTTAGATGTGTCTTAGGGATTATTCTTGCAAGTGAGTTTTAAGTTGTTGTGTGCGTGTTTTTTTTTTGTATCTTATGGATTAACTTTGTGTTGTTTGCTTTAGTCTGTGGGATGTGTCGTCTTGTAGCTTAGGGATTACTTTGAACGATGTGGCTTAATAGGCGGCTTATATCTTATGATTCACTTTGTAAATTGACACACAGAGAGAAATGGCAACTGATTTTAAGCTTTACAAAAAGAATATTAAGTAATTTAAAGACTTTCTGGTGAAATATTTAAAAATCAGAAAAGAAAAAACCATTTTCCTTAGCCTAAAATCAGTTCCATTAATCTATAATCTGCGCCTGTGCTCTCTTGGTGCTGTTTTAGTTAGTAATTTTTTTAAATAAATTAATAAATAAATTTAAGATTAAAATGAAATCTCTTATTTATGTGGCCAAATGTCCTGCCGCCTTCGTTTTCCTGTACTCTGTTCAATTCGATTACTTTGTCCCAGATACTGATGCAGCGGCAGTGGGCGTGGCGATGAAGAGGTCACACCCAAAGGAAACTCGCTGGTGGGTCTCCATTTCGAGGGCATCCACGGTGAATCGTAGCCTTGGTATTTACTTTGGTTTACTTTCTCCTCTGGCAAACTTTCTTGATAATTTCTCGAAGGATATCCCTTTGGCTCATTGTGTACCTTCAGATTCAGCAGTAATTCACCATCATCATCGATCAGATTATAGAGTTGAACGCCTTTGGCCTCTCTCAGTGGATGGGCTCTTTCCAATCTGATTTGCTGCTTGACCTTTGGCCTAACTATCGGCTTGGGTCGCTGGCCAATATATCGCGATGATCGATCCTGCGATTGCAATTGCCGGAGTATATTCAGGGGTAATAGTAAATCCGATTCAAAAGGCATAAAGCCACTGGCTCGCACTTTAATGATATTCCTTAGCAAAGGCTGCTGATGGCTAGATAGATAGCTATCAACTAGGCCCAAAAGGCTCAACATCAATAGGCCTAAAGTGTTCATTATTGGTTAGCCGTTGTTGTTATTAGCTCATTTTTCACAAGGATCACACTGGTATTTCGAAACACTTGAATAAAAAATAAGTAAATTGGTTTACTTTTAACGCGAAGTGGAGAGCAGCAGAAAGAGCAGCGCGTTCTAGGCCCGTGTGTTGCACCAACTGAACGGAGTAAAAAAAAAAGCACGGCGCGGTTCAAGCTAAATCCAGCTGACTGCGCTCGTAAAAACGAATTAATTAGAGAAAATACCGTACGGTAAGCGAATGCACAGTGGGTCAAGATATATACAGACTTGGGTGGAAGTACATTTAAAACCTTAAAATTAGCTAAGTACAAATTATTTACACTTAAAACTATAAATCACATCGAAGGAACATTATTTTTGATTTTTTAAATATTTTTTAGGATTTTATTTTTTGGCTTATAAAATTCTAGAAAATATTTGGACAATCTATGAGTTCTTTAAGTATTTTTAAAAAAATATTTCACAAGCAAAATAAAGTTTAGTTTAAGCATATTTAAACTTTTAAAAACAAAAACTAAATCCTAAAAACATATTTCCTAACTTTTAATGTTCTAAAAAATTGCAAATAAATATAAAAAATTAAAATGGGTAAAAAAAAGCATACATTATATTCTAGTCTTTTAAATTCCATTGAATTTTACAACCCTTCTATTTTAAATATTTCTAATTTTTAAGATTTTTTCTAAAAACTATTAATTTCCCATTTCACATCTAAAAAAAAATATATTTAAAAATTCCAACTATTACCAAATCAAATAGCTTTCTAACCACTATGCTTGATAATATGTCCAACACTTTGAATTGAAAATAAAAACATAACTGGCCGGGCCTCTGGACGTTTATTGTTTGGCATTGCCAGTGTTGTTGTGGCTCTTCTCTTCTATTATTCCCTCTATTATGTTATGGCCAACACAAATTTATTAAAACATCAAGTGAGTGGTGTTAGAGTGTGTGTGTGCCTGTGTGTTTGTGAAGTGTTAGCTTGTTTGGCTGATTTATAACAGAGCCAAGAAGAATTATTCTTTGAATTGCTTTCTGTGGATTGACATCAAACTGGTTCACCGGAGACGAGAGTTGGCCCATTACAATGGCCATTAAAACATAACCCGTCCACTCTCGCTGCCACTGGTGACCCAAACAAACACACACATCTCTGGCTCATTAGCATTAAGACAAAAAGACACCCGCATTGTATATACTATATGGTTATAGTAAAGTATAGAAGTTAACTCTCTATGCAGATTAGCACGTTGGAAAAGTGTGTGGATCAGAATTTTCACTTTAGCCGGCTTTTGCAGTTGACAAACGCTTCACTGATCACTCTCACTGCTCCAAATTTGCATATGGACAGTACAGTACAGTACAGTACAGTAAGTGACATGTCTGTAAAACTTTAAGAAATATAAAATTGAAGTCCTTGAGTCCTAAATAGCTTATGATTAACTCTTAATTTTCTTAATACAAAGTTGAGAGAAAAGTTAACAGACTTACACCTATGAAACGCACTGTATGCATACATAATCTGTAACTGGAAAACATAGCTAACGGTGGCTTCTTAATCACAATACCAACTGATTGACATATTGTTTTTATTCAACATTCATTTTCCCTACCAAACCCAAAGTTGGTTTTTGTTGTTTATTTTTTAGTTTATTTTTTAATTTCTCATAGACGTATAGACCTTTTGCTTAAGCACTAAAATTAAGAACAAATAATTTGCCAAAAAAAAAAATATATAGGTATATATAGATATAGTTTTAGGTATATATGAGGAGGGAGGGATATCTGTACAATTAGACTTAAGACATAGAAGTATAGCTAAACTGACTAGAATTACGATCGTAAAATCCGATGAGCTTCCAAGCTTAATTACAAAGTTAATTCAAATTTCGATTTCCCGATTTCAACGCATTCTTTGGTTGTTGTTAATCTTCTTTTGGGGCTCCTCTCTTTTTGCACTCCCTCTTTTGCCATAATAAATATTTACATATACAAATACTGTTGCTCTAAATAATTAATTAGGTTATTAATTAGGCTTTTCCTTTTTTTTTTAGTTTTTTTTTTAGTCCAAGGTGATGTGAGGATTCGTGTAGGTGAAGCCGTGGAACTGCTTCTGATCCATCGATGCCAGTATTTCCTTGTCGATGGGCGTAAGACGAACTCTTTCCCTGGTGAAAACCCTATCGAAATATTGCGTATCCAAGGGGTGTTTCTGTTTGCGTTTAAGGAAATTACAAATCAATAATATTAGTAAATAAAAATCTCATTAAATACTCACTACTTGAGGCTTAAATGGCGGTTCAATTTGCCGCTTTTCCAGTAATCCCCAATCGATAGGCCGAAAGAATATATGATCAGCTATATCACCAGCTGGACTATATTGCGAACCAATACGCTTCGCATAGTCCTTCTCCAGCAGCTAAAAAACTAAAGTTATAAGTATATATACTATATAGTATATATATATAGTTCTTACCCCCTTGAGTATCCCTGTGGCCTCGGCGGATATATAGACTGGGAACCATGGAATTTCATTGCAAATTGACCAGAAAAGCTCGTCCTCGTCGCAGCCACTGAATGGCGATTGTCCGATTAGCATCTCATAGAGCAGCACACCAAACGACCACCAATCCACATTCTGATTGTACTTTTCACCCTAGAAATAATAATAAATATATATTATATTTTATAGTATTATTAATTTCATAATAGTTAAAGCCAAGTAGCACCTTTATGATTTCGGGCGCCATATAATCGGGTGTGCCGCAAAAGCTATCGGCCGTCTTGTCCAAATAGATTTGCAATTTGCACATGCCAAAGTCGGCAATACGAACATGTCCCTCATAATCCAGCAGGACATTATCCAGTTTGAGATCCCTAAAAGTTAAATATATATATAATTTAATGGTATATAAAAAACACTAAGACTTACCTATAGATAATGCCCTTTTTGTGAAGGAACTTAAGGCCCGAGATGATCTCGGCACCATAGAATCTGGCCCGTTCCTCGGAAAAGCGTCCGCTCTCCTGGATATGGAACATGAGATCACCACCATTCAGATACTCCATCACAAAGAACAAGTGGCTCTACACACAAAATATCGTAATATAAAATTGAAATCGTGAGAATTTGTGATATATAACGATTGATCGAGTTTATAAGAGATTTAGAGATCGTCCCCCAAAGTCATAAATAATTAAAATACCTTCTAATCGGTGTCAATGCAAGACGTTGCAGTTGCATCTGCAGATTGAGAGAAAAAAAACACACACAAAAACAATAACAAAAACAAAAAACTAGGCGGACGGACAGGCACCCTGATCTACATGATGTCCGATCGACGTCGTGTGCCCCAATCGATGGCCAGACCCCAGTGTTCTAATTATAGAACGTTTTACCTTTCCTCTGGCTAAAAATAGACAAAACGATCGATTGTTCTATATGAAAAATATATCGATCAAGAGAGCAGACACACCTTCGATTGGTGACCCCCACCTGTAGATTTGCGCTTAAGCGAAAGCTAAAAAAAAATGTGCAAAGTGCTGGCAGTGGTTTGTTTTTTATATTTTTACATGGATTTTTACTGGATTATTTTTAAATATTTTAATATAAAGTAAAGGATTGGATCACTCAAAGTAAACTTCGAATTTTCATACAAATTTTTATAAATACATTTTATATTTTTCCAAAGCGGTCATTGACCCTTAGTGACCCTAATCAAGGTCTTGGCTTGGCTAACAGGTGTTAGACATGACTAGATGACTCAGTTTTTAGGTACTTCACTTTAAAGCCTCAGCAATAAAAGGTATTTTAATTATCAAAACTGCAGTTTAATGGTCTTACAACCATAAAATGTTAGTACAAATGTTTTTTACCCCTTCAAGTGGCTTAACAATATTTAAATATAGAAAAATCCATCACGAAGATGCTTGAATTTAGTTGAAATTTGAACTTTTTAGTTTTCAAATTAGTAAACAAAATTTAGATTTAAGCTTCTTTGCCTCAAAATCAATATTTCCATAACTTACCTCCGTTTGGAAGGTGCAAAACAGATGACACAGATAGGGATGTTTGGTGCCCAAGGCCAGGACCTTGCGTTCAATAAGGGTCGAGTCGACATCATCATCCTCCAGGACGACATCCTTCTTCAGGCACTTGATGGCATAGTAGTACGTGGTATCACGCAGCTCAGCCAAAAGAACCTGTTAACAAATTTAATTTAAATATTATTATATTTAAGCAAACATAAACAGTGAACTCACCTTGCCAAAACTTCCCTTGCCAAGAACGGCCAGAAAGTGGAAATCATCTACCGAATAATTCTTAAATCTAGGTATTACTGTTGCTGGCGCAGTGAAACGTCCGGATTTTTGGAATTGTGAATATGTATATGATGTTTCTGTGCGTTCGAGACAGCAAAAGATATATAATATGTATATATATAGAAGATAGAGAGAAAGAAAGTCATAGAAAGTTAAAGTTAGTTAAAATCATTAAGAATATATTATATATTACAGATAGATAAATGTTCGATTAATGAGCAGTTTCCGTTGGTCACTTGAGTGCAAATTCGAGAGGGGGAGGTGGGGGGCATATCATTTAATATCGGCATACCATCGTGTTCTTCGCTGGGGTCGATCTTATAGGCTGGATTCAAACTGGGCGGTGTACTGGGTGAGTCACGGGCTTCACGGGCTCCTAATTATTCGAGAATATTAGTCGGGTTCTAGTCGAGATCTACTATATGTTTCGATATTTTCTAGCTCTGATTTTGCTTAGAGATTTGCTTTAGAAGGCTATTTTATATCAACTTTAAAGTTATTTCAAGAAATTTTTGGGATTTTAAACAATTTTAAATTTTTCCAGAATTTTGTACAAAAGAAAAATGACAAAGAAAAAGCCAAACTCACTGCTTACTTGGAAAACCTTTTTTAATACTTAATAAATATATTCATTAAGCTAACTAAAGACACTTTCAATTTCTTTAAAGAAAAAAAACAAAGACTTCCCCTGACAATTTCCTGGTTTCCAGTCACTCAATAATTAACACATTTTAAATTCTGTTCTAAAAGCAAAATCAGAACCATAAATTCGAGGCACAAAATGTGTGTGAATATTATTTGTTGGCCTCCTCCATTATTTTTGTGCACACATTCCCGAGTGTGATTTGTGCAGTTTTGTCTGATTTTTACCTCGCTTCACGTGGTTGAGTGCCTCGACGATGAGTTTCTGATTGACACCGCATAAATTGGCCGTGAGCCGCTCGCATTTCTTGTGACAATTCACGTCACATTCTGGGTTCGCGTGTTTCGATTCGATTTTCGACATGAATGTTGGATGTGAGTATATATGGCCCAAGCCCACGCACAACACATCAGCATTTTGGAGTGAAATTAATTGCAAACAAATTAATATTATTATGAATAAATTATTGTCGGCTAAGGGGGCTTGTTACCCAATCTTCTGTTGCGATTTATTGGCTGCAAGAAATGTGGTTTTTCGATTGGAAAATTACTAGTCTGGAAGTTGACCTATGTTTTGGTTTATGAAGAGAGGAGACTAACTACAAATTTAAGCTAAGGATTTCCCAAAGATTTTCTATTACTTCTTGACTATATCTTATAAAAGATTTTCTTTGAATAAAATTAACATATTTATTTCCCTTTATAAATGAATAATAAGAACTTAATATAGATTATAATTGAAAACCAATTTAAAAATCCATAAAATCATAACCAAACCTTAGGTAACTAAGAAGAACCTAAGAGTTTCCCCAACCTCCTTTTCTAGCATAATAAAACATTAACAAATTATTATTTTCAGTGCATTGAATTCATTTTAAAGACATGAATTTCCGTTGATTATTTGCTGGCTATGAGGTTCTGCTGGCATAAACAATGCGAATCCGCAAACGCAATCGCAATCTGCCCACTTTGATTGAATTTCCAACTAATTGAGGCAGATGCCCGGATATCACGTATACGCAGTGTGTTAACCAAACACTATTTTCGCGCTCATTGAGTGAATTTTTATATAATCGAGGCAAGGGAATTGACTGTATAGACATATAACTGCGTTGTTTTCTATTGTATTTTTTTGGTTAAATCAACTGCATGGGGGGAATGTCAAAATATCTAGTATAGTTAGTATCTTAGAAGATATATCTATTTTTTTTTTTTTTTTTGAATAATATGTATATGTATATATCTATATTCGCTATGCAAAAGAAAGCTTTCTTTTCTCTTTTTGCTCTTTGCTCAGACCAGACAGACACGACACGACGATGACCTAAACAATTTGTTTTCATTTGTTGTTTTTGGCTAAAAGTAAAATGCCAACTTGTAGATTCTACGTTTCTCTTCTCTGGCAGCGGGTCTCTCTAGCAAATTCTCGTACAAACATCAAGGAAACGCCACCACGGAACAGTAAGCAGCGATAAAATTCTCAACGAAAAATTACATAAAAATACGAATCGAGCAATAGAAATAGGAAGTCGATTTCCCATATTCACAAGATGACTAACAATGCTTAAGAAATACCTTTTGTTTTTCTTATGTTTTTTCTAGCAATTAAAAGCTATAAAAGCTAGGAATGTAAGGAACATGAAACTAAAAAATGGTAAAAGGTATTACCTAGGGAAAGGGATATAAAAATATAAGCCCTCTTTATACGAGGAAAGGACAAGAATTCAAAGTAAAACAACCATAAAAGTACAGAAATTTCTGTTTTTAACATTTTTTAAGAAACCTCTAACCGGAGGTTAGTACAAACGACAAACCAAGAAAGAGAATTCCAAACTTCACCACTAAAATTTCCATTTCCCAAATATTCGTTTTTATAAAATTCCCATAAAAAACCACACAACCACACACCGACAATCTCTGGTAACCCAGAAAGAAATGTAACAAAAAAAAACAAGCCAAAAAAAAAAATAGGAAAAATTTCGCATTTTCCACCCAATAATAACTCACAATTTTCCTCCAGCTGCAGTTCGTTGAACTTGTCTCATTGTTCAGAGAAAAAAAACACAATTTCCAAGCATAAATTTTCCACTTCCTAGTTAACACTTTGAGTTCGAATGCCTAACTAATCCCAGCGGCGACTACACGAGAATATATTCTTGTAGATGATGATGATGATGATGGGGGAACATCGCTTTTGCCCGGATCATGATATACTACCTCCTATTGATCGTTATGACTTTGTTTATAACCCATTGTGTCTCTATACATTTTCCCCAGAATTGTTTGCATGCCAGCGGCAGCCGCTATCTATATCTTATAGATCTCATATCTATATAGATCGGTGTTGTTTTTTTTTTTTGTTTTTGTAGAGAAAACGAAAGCATTCCGAAATGCCTGGCATCATAGACAGTAAGTAAGTAAGAAAGCTCTTTTTTTTTCTGATCCGGACACGTGCCGTGCACTCAAGTGACCAGCGGGTCGAGGGGGGGATATGTTTTGATGTACACTGAGAACAAATTATGGCAATAAGTTATGTCAAATAGTTTTTTAGTTATTTATCAGAATGATTAATAGCATCTTAATGGGCTCATTTATCAGTTTCTTTTAAGATGGAAAATGTTCTTTTTCTTTCCTTTCTGATAAATATAAAACCCTAACATTGCCAATTTTCTTTTCAGTGTACTAACTAATCTGTCCGCTGTCTTTTTGCGAAAGAATTTCGCTGAGGATCGAAACCCAGGGAGTAGGTCTTACCTAACATCTTCTTGGGACTGGAGGGCGCAGTGCCGCCTTCGAATCCGGAATCGTTGCTGCAGGTGCTCATCCGGATGATGGACGGCGAACTTGATGTTGAGGCACCGCCACCACTTGTTACACCCAATGTCCCGGCATTTGAGCCACCCGAACTGGGTGAATCCACAACCGTTGTGGTCGTAGACGATGAATTGGTAGCCTTGGTAGCCACATCGAGATCCTCAGAACTGGCACTACTGCTGGATGAGCTGCATTCCTCGCCGCCACTCTCATCATCACTATCCTCATCCAATGATCCACCGCTACCCTCTTCGCTGCCACTCTCATCATCGGTATTCTCATCGGAATAGACGATTTTTTCACGTTTCCATAGGGGACGCGGTGTGGCCACCAATGGATATCGTGGCGCCTCCTCCTTCACATAACACTTGTTGGTTGTATCGATTTTGATCTTTTTGTGAGGATCAAACCGTTTGGCTTCAGCGGCGGCGGCTTTCGCCTTTTGCTTCTTTTTCTCCTTGCGCTGTTTCTTCTTCATGCTGGCGCTTAAATTTGCACAACCGTCAACACTGGAATAATCGTCGGAACTGTTGCTGCTGTCGCCGCTGTTGTCGTCGTCGCTATCTTCGTCTTCGTCGTCGTCTTCGCTATTTTCCGCCGACGAGGGTATATAGTCCTCTAGCTCGGCATCAACGTCTCGCAGACACTGTGCCAAATTCGATACTGTTGCAAACTTTGATAAATTATTGCCGACGCCTTCGCCGCAGCTGTTGTTGCCGCTGAGCGAGGTAGTAGTATCAGCAGCAGCATTAGCATCAGCAACAGCAACAGCAACAGCAACATTAACAGCAGCAACACCAATTGTTATTGTTGTGGGCGTTGTGGTTGCATCGCCTGTTGCCGCCGGCGATGACGCATTTGTGGCCTGTTGCCGCTGCTGCTGCTTCTGTTGCTGTTGCTGCTGTTGCTGTTGCACTTGCAATGGTTGTTGCTTGTTCGGCGATGTTTTGGCCGCCTTTGTGGGGGCCAGCGTTATAAATTGATCGGCATTGATTGGGGTCACATTGCTCTCAGACAAAGCTGTTACAGTTTCTGTTGCTGCCGCTGCTGCTGGCGTTGGTGGCGTTGCTGCTCCTGATGCAGCTGGCGTTGCAGCTTTCTTTTTGCCAACATTTGTTTTGCCGGCACTTTTTGGCTTTGTCGTTTTCGGTGATTGCACCTTTGACTTGGCCGTTGGCTCAGCGGCTTCCGTCAATTTCGTTTTGGTTTCCGTTTGTGGCACCAATGTTGCTGCCGTGTCGATCGATTGTTGCTGCTGCTGTTGCTGTTGCTGTTGCTGTTGTTCCTTGTGCGTTGTTTTATTTATTTTCGTTTCGACTGCGACTGCGGCTGCCGTTGCCTGTTGTTGTTCAGGTGACTTGGCCGGCTGCCCGCTATTTATTTTTGGCCCTGCTGTTTCGTTCAATTTTGATTTGGCCGCTGGTGTTGCTGTTGCTGTTGTCATGGCTACGGCGTTGCCAGATTGCTTGGCCCCCTTGGGTGATATTGTTTTTCCTGCTGCTGCTGCTGCTGTTGCTGTTGCTGTCATGTTAATCTTGGCCGTTGTTATCTTTGGTGTTGCTGGTGCTGTTTTGGCATCATCTGTTGCTGGTTTGGCTTGTGGTGTTTTTAGTGGTGTTGCTGGTGTGTCAACTTTGGTGGTTGTCGCTTTGATTTGTGTTGGTATTGTTGTTGCAGCTGACTTGGCTTGTGGTGTTGCTGGTGTAGCAGCAACCTTTCTTGTTGGAGAATCTTTGGTTGGTGTTTCCACTTTGATTTGTGGTGTTGTTGGTGAATCTTTTACAGGTGTTGCTACTTTCGTTGTTGGTGAGTCTTTAACTGGTGTTCCTACTTTCATTTGCGAATCCTTTGTTGGTGTTTCTGGCTTAAGTTGCAGTGTTGTAGGCTTTTTAGTGGGTGCCTCTGATGCATTATCAGTTTTTGGTGATATTTCTACCTTAATTTGTGGTGTCTTTGGGGAATCTTTAGTTGGTGTTGCAACTGCTGCTGCTGTCTTGGTTGTTACGATTGGCTTAGCTTCCTCTGTTGTTGTTATTAACTTGGGCAAATCTTTCTTAGCCATTGCTGTTGCTTTTGGCTTAACATCATCAATGGCCGTCTTAGCTGCTGTTGATGTTTCTATTCCCTTGGCTTTTGGTAAGGAACTAGCTGGAGTTTTGCTTGTATTTTCCACTTTCTGTACTTCCACTTGATTGGTTTTGACAACTGTTGGAGTTAGTGGTGTTGGTAGTACCTTCGGTACTGCTGTTTTGCCACCAGTTGTTGCTGCCACCGAAGGCGTTGTCTTCAGCTCTATGAGAATTTCCGACTTTAGTTTAGGCGTGGTTGGTGTCTTGGGTGTCTTAGCTTCTGTCTTGGTTGGTGACTTGGGAACTTCCTCTTCGAGAAGTTGCTCCTGTCGCTCGTTGAAGACCTTCTTGCGATTGGTCATATACAGAGTTTCCCTGGAACCAATTTGCGACCAAAAGTCTTCACCGCTCTCGGATTTTTGTATAGCCTTTCGAATGGGCTTGGGTGTGGCCACACCCTCGACCTTGGTCTCGGTTTTGGGTTGCTGCGATTGCTGTTGCTGTTGCTGTTGCTGCAGCTGTTGCACTTGTTGCTGTTGTTGATTGGCCAGCTGGCTCTGTTGCTGCTGCTGCTGCTGCTGTATGGCTGCCTCATCGAAGGTGAAAATCTGTGCCTCACTCAAATGCTGCTCTTTGCTGTTGGCCTTCTTCAAAGGCGATGTCTTGGCCGTTTTGGGTGCAGCCTTCATGAATCCCTCGGGCAGAGATGACTCCTCTTGCTCCTTGGGCACTGTCTTTTTCTTGGGCAACTTAAAGACCTTGTGGATCTGATGATGCTCCTCCACAGACTCTACGTTAACGGTGAACTTTGGCTTGGGACTGGGACTGGGTGTAGAACTAGAACCGGAACCGGAACCGGAAAGTGAAATCAAAGGTTGCACCAATAGAGATTCTTCGTTTAACTCCAGGACACTTGGCATATGATCCACTGGCGTGGCTTGGGGGGCATTCTCCACCTCCACAATGGCGGTGATCTTGTGACGCAACTTTTTGGTCTTCTTGGAACGCCTTTTCGATCGCTCCTTGTGATCATCATCGTTGGTAGTGGTGCTATCATGACTGGATCTCCGTTCCAGATGAATCAATTGGAAGGTTCCTGAGTTTGATTTTTGCAATTTGTTTAGGATTTCCTGTTCTTGTTCTTGGATTATGGAAGCCCGTCGCCGGAGCTCACCGGCATTCAGATCATCATCGATCTTATCCGAGGAAATATCCTCGCAAATGTCATGAAAAGTGGGACATTGGACCAGACTCAAACGTCGAATGGTCTCTTGCATTTCCTCAAGATTCTCCTGTTCCTGTTTATCCGAATCCTCCTTGTCCTTCTCCTCCTCATCTTTCTCCTTCTTGGCACTGATCTCAATCTCTGCAGTTTGAGTTCTTAGAGCACTTTGTGGTTGGCTGAGTAGCTGGATCCTGGCTTGATTGGAGATGGGTTGCTCCTCCTCCTTTTCATCTCTTATATAGAATCGTTCACGTAGTAATTCTCCTGGAGATTTCTTATTGCTTGTGGCTGGAAATGCGGCCAATTCTTCAGCCAATTTCTGGCGCCAACTTAAACTGGGTTCGGTGGCAGGTGGCAAGTCCCTGAATTGATGCTCCTGAACCTGCTCCTTCTTGGGACTCTCTCGCTCACCGCGATCCTTGCTACGTCGTCGTATGGTTGATAGTCTAACGACAGGTCGATTTCTTTTGATTGTGGATCTACGATTTGGTCTAGCTTCGGCATTTGGTTCTGTTATCTCGATTGGTGTTGGTTCCTTGGCTTGCGATGGCTTAAGCTCCTCTTGTTCCTTCTGCTTGACTTCCTCCTTGGATTGCTGCTCTTTGGACTGCTGCTCCTTGATCTCCCTGTCCTCTGATCTGGGGGTAACACCACGGCGATATCTCGATGAACTCACATCGATATCAGCCGTATTAATGGCTATCGGTCTGGCTGGTATATATCGACTGCTGGCACCCGATGAGCTATAGCTAGGAGTCGCAACCGAATTGCTATAGTTTGGTGAATTAATTCTGGTCAAGGGCATCAGACTGCTATGACCACTATGCCTGCCCGTCTCCGTGATGGTGGTTAACTTTGGTTGATATCTGGAGCCCAGGCCATGTAGAGAACTACTTCCACCGGCGGAGCCACTGGAATAACTGCTCGTTGATCTGGGCGAGGAGGGACTCAGCGGTACCATATAGCTGGCCGGATACGAACGGTTATAGCTGGAGGTATAACTCGATCCGGGCGATGAGCCTAGGCCCAAATTCAGGCCCAAACCGGAGCTATAGTAAGGCGAATACAGCTGGCTGCTGCCGCCACTATAGTAATAGTTTGTGGAATCCGAATACAGAGGCATATTTTGGCCGAAAGTCACTCAAACAAAAATCAAAATAAAAAAAAAACAAAAAAAAAAAGAACACCAAAACACGAGGAGAGACAGAACCTTCGGTTTTGAATTTTTGTTTTGCTTATTTTCCGGCGCTTTTCCGCTGCTTTTCCGCTGCTTTTCCTCTGCTTTTCCTCTACTTTTCCTCTGCTTTTAGCTTAATTGTTTCCTTCGGTTCGCTTAGGCTCTCATATTTTAATCGTAATTACGCTGTTTTCGAATGGGCAGATATATAAATATCATTATCTAAATGGCACAGACCGTATAGCTTTGACTTTTTATGGCCAAACAATAGACTATATTCGGAATATATATATATATATAGGAGATCGATCAACTTAAGCCAAGTTCTTCTTTCAAGAGTTGTAAAAACTTGTCAAGATTTTGCTTAACAATCTCAAACTCAAAACAATAAACAAGAGATCTACAATTTAGCTTAGAAAAACCTGCACTTCCCCTTTTTCAGCCATTTGTCTTTCATTTAGTAAATTAATTAAATTTCAATTTCAATTTCGATTTCCGGCCAAAGCCAATTCGATGTCAATAAGTCAATTTAATTGCAAGTGCGGTGGCAGACTCTCTAACAAGACTAATCCCACAATTCAATTGGGCAAGATGATAAATTTAGAACGGGCCAAGAGAGATTCAGATTCAGCCATAAATTCGATGGCACTTCAGTTTATTCTTCACAGGTTAACGCTTGCTTGAAATATATATATATATTTATATAGGGTGGCTGTCTGTCGTACATGTATATATTATATCTTTGCCCTCCGACGCTCTGCCGCTGTTTAATTATACAATTTTTCGAGATTTCAAAACGGCTGTCATAATGTGCCAGAATTTGGCAATACCCGAAGTCACATTAATTATAGCCTAATTGGGCCAAAAAAAAAGGTTTAATTCCCCGCAATCGAACAGGCAAAGACAAGATTTCCGCAAATATTTTTTAAGGGAATTAGATATTGCAAATATTTCTAGCTAATTTTTAAGTTCAAACACTAATTAAGGTCTTAATTTGGCTAGAAAACAGAGAAAACTGAAAGCTAATCAAATTGTTTATTTAATTAACTTCCAAATTCCCATAAATTCTTATGGTTTATATTTTCGAAAAACCCCTTAAAACTCTGAATTTGAAAGAAACGTAAATAGAACTGAAATTGAACTGTCATTGGCTGAAGGTCAGCTGGAATCATCGATGGCTTTTCAATTATTCCAATGGACTTTTCATGCTCGAAATATATGTTTATTATTGGCTTTCGCTATTTGCCCATATGTGCCATATAGATATAGATATAGTTATATATATATATATATATATATAATCCGATGTAGGAGATAAATTTTTTCGCATGACGTAAGCGCTCACGAGTCGTTGTCTGCGATTTTCCTTAGCGATTTTCCACGCATAAAATGCTGACAGTTTTCTTTTTCACGTTTTATAATTATATTTTTTTTTTTATTTTTGATTTTTTTTTTATTGCTGATTAGCCACTTTAAGCACAAGTTGTGTGTTGTATTTGTTTTTTAATATTTTTTTTTCAATTGTTATGATTTTTACCGTCAACGCGACAGGAAAAGAAAAAAATCAAGGAGCTAACTCGACGTGGCGAACGCATTAACGGAAACTACTGAAATGTGAAAGGCAGCGCTGAAAAATTTTCAATTCCGATTCCTGAACTCACACTCGCAACACACATACACACACGCATACACGTCAATGATTTTCACGGGAAAATTCGAAGTCCATTTGTATGAGAGAGAGGCTAACTTGGCAGCCAGTATATGTGAGTGTGTGTGTGTATCCCAGATCATCACCATTTTCCTCATCTTCTTTCAATTATCTCTACGTGTCTGCCAATTTCGAAATATGCCCCTCAGAATTTTCAACACACACACTCATACTGTGCCGCCATAAATTTCACACGAAGGCAGGCCGAGCGAGCGGTTTTTCGAATTTCGAAAAAGCATCAAAAACATTTTTGACGTGTTTGAAAATGCTTCTTCATTCTGCTCATCGTTTTTGCACATCGAAAGTAAAAGCGAAAAGAGCGGAAAACTCAGCTGCGAGGTAGAGATTAAACAAAGGAAATTGAGAGAAACAGGCAGAGTGAGAGAGCGAGAGAGAGCGAGCGAGTCTGTCATAAAATATGCGGAACAATTAACTAAAATAAGTATGGCAAAAATATATATCTCACTTGTTTGATTACAGAAGATGAAGAATCTGCAGCGTTTTAGGGCTGTTTTTTAGCTTAAGAAAAGATCAAAATATGAAAATTTAAAAAGAAATTGGGCCAAACTAACTTAGGTAAGGAAAGTAGAGTGTTAGAAAAAAAACTTTTAACAAAGTTAATTTGTGTTTAAGAAAGTTATGCCATCAGAGCCAAAGAAGTATCTCAAAACCAAAAGGGAAAGAGAAATAAGCCCTGAAAATGCTTTCCTCTTCCTCAGAAAGACAACCCTTAAAAACTATTTACGAAATCAAAAACTAAAACTATAAAAAATTGTATATATTCAACAAGTAATTCTACAAAAGTCAACTAAGCCAGCGTACTTTTCACAACCAAATAAAATTCAACTAAAACTAAGAAAAAAAAACAAAACAAAATTGAAAGAGCAAATAGAAATAGACAGCAAACGAGAGCAAGAAATGTGAGTTTACGTTTGCTGTCATAAAATGTGTGACCAATTAATTGTCACTAAAATGTAGAAAAGTCATAAATTAAAGGAATTAGGCAACTGCAATCAAACATCAAAGACAGTTCATGGTGAAGAATACAAATCGAAAGACTTTGGCTTTGAGAAACCTAAAACTAAATCTCAGCTCCATAAAAATCTAAGCAACTAATTAAGCAATTTTTCAATTTCAATTATATTCCCGAAAAACCTTTTTTTATTTCTCAACCAAATAAGAAATTGATTTCCTTATCCAAAACTTAATTCCTGATTTCCGCATATTAATAATTATAAATCGAAAAAAAAACAAAAATAAAAACAAAACTGCCAAAAACATCGCTTGACATTTTCGCCAACATTTGGACTCTTAGCACCCGGCTAAAATATCCTCCTGGGCGATCATCAATCTGCCTGTTGGTAGCACCTGCTATCAAGATGTTTGGCTAAATTTGTCCAATTTTTTCCCCCCGTAACACAGCCACGTCGGGGGAAATCGGAAAAGCGAATGCCAGAAATGCCGCACGTAGGATGTATCTCATCTATTCCCATACCCATACCCATACCCATACCCACCATAGCACTCGAAATCGTAAATGCGATGCTAATGGTGACGCTTTTCGGTTCCGCAAAGTACATTTATAGATCACCAAAAGAAAGAGGAAGAAAGTTGGAAAGCGCCAAACAACTAGAAATAGAACTGCAACATGCCTTTTCTTTTTCTCGTTTTCTGGCTGCGCCTCAGTACTTAATCTTTGCGATTTATTGTGAACGTGGTGGGGGGGAGAAGGAACATATATACTATATATATATATGTATATATATGAGATATTTTTGAGACTGCAGCATTCTTGTCCTGTCAGTTGCAAAAGTGCATAGCCATGGGATTACTCTCCCACTTAGCACAAAAAACAAATTATTTTTAATGGGTGATTAAGGCCTTAATGAGCTATCATAAAAATAATCATTCGGGCAAAAACCATTCGAAACTTTTTACTTACAAATAAATAAGTTTTATAGGTTTTTAAAAGCTTGCTTAGGATTTTTGGGAAATCTTTCTCTGAAAATATTTATTAAGAAATATAGCTGATGGTAGGGTTTAAGCCTAGTAATTGGACACTTAAAAAATATAAATTTGGTTATAGTTTATAGTAGAAAGTAACCCAAAAACCTATACTTCCTTACATTATAATACTTTCTTTTCATCACCTATTACTGGGTATCCTCCAAGTCTATTACCATGAGACCTTTCCCAACTGCGTTGATATTTTCAACTTGTTCGGAACGCCATGATTTTTCCCTATTTTTTTCTACTAATGCCTTGTGTTGGCAAAGTCGCAATAAATTGATTTCTAATGCAGTCTGGCTATCTGTCTTCCACATCTATTATTTATTGAGATTTTAGCTTAATCTGGCTTTCGCATTATTTCCGCTTTACTGATCGAGTGAAAGTATTTTCCTCTTTCTTTGTTTGCCGTTTAAAACGAAAAAAGACCGAAAATGTGTTACTTATATTGCACAATTTTCGTGCACCTGCCTGAGATATATGGACCTCGTTTGGCTTGACAAAGTTACGACATCGTTGAAGAAATCGTAGATTGTATAGCTATATATTAAATGGATTTCATTTTTTATTGGGTCTTCCAGAAGTGTGGAGATTTTTTTTATAAAATTACAGCCAACACGGCGTATGAGTGATACAGATGTACCCATTACACACGTCGTATGAGTGATATAGATGTACCCATTACACACACGGCGGATGCGTGATACAGTTGTATCCATTACACACTGCGTATGCGTGATACAGTTGTACCCATTACACACGGCGTATGAGTGATACAGTTGTACCCATTACACACTGCGGATGAGTGATACAGTTGTACCAATTACACACACGGCGTATAAGTGATACAGATGTACCCATTACACACTGCGGATGAGTGATACAGAGGCACCCATTACACTTTGTATCACCCATACGCACTGTTGGCTTTTATGATATTTTTATGAATTTCATTTCAGTGGGATTCTTTTCCAAGAACATGGGAGATAATTTCCTGAGTTTCTCTGGAAACTTTGAGTGCGTTGCTCTCATAAATTAACCAAAATGAAACATAAATGATTTTTAAAGATCTTATTTGTGAAATTTACTTGTAAAAAAACTCAAAAAATTCAAAAAAACCTTTAATATTTCCAAAAGAAAAACTAGTTTATATATTCTACCTAAACCTAACACACTTTTAACCGTTTTTAATTCATGAACAACATTTTTACACCTGTGTAAACTACCTCTTAACACCAAGGAAATCACAGTAAGAAGCAGAAGGGAACTTCCCTCTAATATTACCCCCTATTCTTGTTAACCGTTACATTATGTGATGAGAGCCAAAAGCCCAACAATCTGTGGTTCTTATAACCACTAAAAAAAACGAAGAAGCTTTTAATAAAAAGCTCTGCGGTTTACCTCAGGCACAGATGGTGCCACCTGGCGAAAGCTCGAGTCACTATATCTAGCCAATTTTGAAATCGCAACAAGAATGAGTAACTAAATGCCCTTAAAATATTAACTTAATTAGTTAATACCCAACTCACCTTCACATTTAAGACCCTGAATAAAAAATCCACCCATCAGGGAACCGCAGTGGTCACAAAAGGTGGGCGACATAAAGGTGTGAGGCTTGAAACGATGTGGCATATCAATCTTGAACCGCTCGCGAAGTAACTAAAATAGTTTTAGTTTATATTAATGTTAATATTTTCCTAAATTTATCCTAAATCAAAAACCTACAATTGTACTCGCAGAGGTGAAAACGGAACCGGAACATTTTCCCAGCAACTTTTCATGGCATTTCTTATGCACCACCGTTTGACAGACTGTAAAGACAGAAAATATTAAAGTTGTATTTTTAGTTTTTAGTTAGTTAGTTAGTTTTAACTTACTGATACACTGATATCCCTGCTTGCCAAAACCCCAAAGAAACAAATTGCAAAAGGCACAGAAAGTGGGTTGGCGAAAGAATTTCGCCACAAAGCGATGGCCATTGATGTCGTGGGTTCTGGAAAGGAAAATAAACACAATTTTAACTTAGTTTTAAACAGTTTCTAATAAAATATCACAAATATTTCTTAAAGATAAGATAGAAAAAAGCTTTATAAATTCTAAATTAATATTAAAAACATTTTCAAAATCCAAACTCAACTCACTTCTGATGCTTGATGGCCCCCCGACGATTGGTGATGCTTCTTGGCCGAGTCCTTCTGTCCACATAGACGTTACCGCCAGTAACGCCACCACCATTGCCACTTCCGCCAACGCCACCACCACCACCAGTACTGCTTTCCCGATCTCGATCTCTATCCCTGTCCCTATCCCGATGATATGCCTCCTCCTTGGAGTGCTGGCGTGGCAGCTCAAAGGAATGCTTTCCATAATGATCTCTATCCCGATATTGATCTCGTCTGGCACCAGAAGTACCACTGCTGCCACTCAGGCCACTGCCAGCACCACTGCTGCTGGTGGAGCTCTGTTTGTAGCGACTCTGGAAGGTGGGATTATTATTAGTAAGATTTATTAATAATTATTTTTTTGATTATAATTAAAATTCGCAACACGTGTTGTGTGTGCCAATTTAAAACTCAACTAGCTTATTTTTTTGAAATACCTAAACACAGACACAGAAGAAGGCACTTAAGTTTCTGTTTATACATTAGTTTTATTCTTCTAAATTGTTAAACAAAAGCTTAACAGAACAGACTGGAATGGTTGAAATTTGTAAATATAACCATTAAATGTTAATTATTTCAAAGTGACTAGCCAAAAATGAGGAAACTGTTTTGGCTTTTAGAATATTTTAAGATTCGTTAAGGTTTTTGTGAGGATTTTGTAAATGGAAACTTCAAGATTTTACACATATTTTCTTTAAGAAATCATAATATAATAATTATATTATAATATTACTTTTAATTAACAAATAATAATAATAGTTTACCCACCTCATGACGTGACGATGATCCTCCCGAGCTTCGAGGTCGCTGGCTGCTCGAGTTGGTGGTCTTCTGCTTGCGCACCTGGGCACGTGTGAACATCATCTTGTGGTCTCCCGGCTGGCTGTTCCGTATCCCAAAATCCCCATCCACATTCGATCCACGAGCTATCCCAATTACTTGGCCGTATTCTGGCCTGGCCTGGGCTTCTGGTTTGTGTTTCGCTGTGCGAGGTTTATGGCGTATACCAAGGCGTTTTGCTTTTGGTTTTTCTTTTTTTTGTTTTTATATTTATTTATTTATTAAATAAACAGCTCGCATTTTTAGTCAGCTGTATGTTGTATCTTGCTTTCGGTGTACTGGCATTGTTGCCCAGGTTGATGCTGGTTATCTGAATAAGGACAAAAAAGTTAATGAAATAGCAAAAAAAAAAAGAAAGAAAAGTAGAAAGCTGCTGCAGCTGGCCGATCTTGCCTTGATCTAATATCATGGCTAGCCCACGCCCGACATTGGCCTCTAGCCCGCTCACTTTTATAATCTTTTTTACACCCTCTTTCCCCCGGAGAATTGTGTCACGTATGTGAAATGACATTGACAAGGGGCGGAGTGGGTGGAGGGGTGGAGATGTTGACGAGGGCGAGGGAAACCTCAAGAACCATTTGTCTGATGTCTGACTGATGATCTCTACACATCTATTAATTACACAGCGAAAAATTAAGCTCAACAAGAGGATCTTTTTGGTTATTTTGTAGTGTTAAATAAGAGATTTTTTAAGAATTTTTAAATATTTTAATGAATATTAATTAATATTAAAAGTTCTCACTAGTTTACATTTTCGCGAATTTCCGTTGAAGTCTTTAAAAGGATTTATATTTTAATTTCACGAATACTTTC